GATTTATACCATTAAAAAGAAGGCATATCAGTACATGCAAGAATGATGCTGTGAGAGGGAGAATAAATCAGGTCTAAATTATAAAACAAGAAATAATTTACAAGATACAAAGAAATTTGGGACTTCCCTTGGCAGTCCAGTGGTAAAGATTCTGCAGCTTCCACTGCAGAGGGTGTGGGTTTAGTTCCTGCTTTGGGAACTAGATCCCACATGCTGTAGGGTGTGACCCCCCCAAGAAATCAGGTCTAATTTTAAAAGTGTATCTTGTTGTTCAGTTGCTGTCATGTCCAACTCTTTGTGACCCCCTGGACTGCAGCACACCGGGCTTTTCTGTCCTTCACCAACTCCCAGAGCTTATTCAAACTCATGTCCATTGAGTCAGTGATGCCATCCAACCGTCTCATCCTCTGTCATCCCCTTCTCCTCCTGCCTTCAATCTTTCCCAGCAACAGGGTCTTTTCCAATGAGTCGGTTCTTCACATCAGGTGGCCAAAGGATTGGAGCTTCAGCTTCAGCATCAGTCCTTCCAATGAATATTCAGGATTGATTTCCTTTAGGATGGACTGGTTAGATCACCTTGCAGTCCAAGGGTCTCTCAACAGTCTTCTCTAGCATCAATTTGAAAGCATCAATTCTTTGGCACTCAGCCTTCTTTATGGTCCAACTCTCACATCTGTACATGACTACTGGAAAAACCATAGTTTTGACTATACAGATCTTTGTTGGCAAAGGGCTGTCTCTGCTTTTTAATATGCTGTCTAGGTTGATTTACAAATCAAGTCTAATTTATAAACCAAGGAATGAATCATTTGCATATTTCAGCAATTCCAGAACTTGAACAATTCTTTGTAGCAAGTTTATCATGACTTGCCACACAGGGGATCCCGGCTCATCTGAATGTCAGAAGCAGTGGCTGAGAATATCGGGTGGACAGGAAAGGCCCTCCAGGAGGAGCAAGCAGGCAGGCGAGAGGCAGGCTATTCCAGATCCAAACTAGAAATAATCATATTAATAACAGCAGCTAGAATTTTCTGAGCTTTTCCTTCATGCCAGTCATGGCTCTTAAATTCTTTCCGTGGATTAACTGCTTTCACCCAACAGCACCCTCTGAAGCACACTGTCCCATTTTACAGAAAACTCAGCGAGGGTGAGGAAGCAGGTCGTCAGGGGCAGAGCCACGGCCGGGGCTCAGGCCGCCTGCCCAGAGCCTGTGTCCCTTGCTTTCCCACACACTGGATAGCCCGGAGTGAGCCCAACTCTCTGAGGGGCTTGTAAAGTCTCTGGGTCCCAAACTTGGACGTAGGCACAGGCATAATGAGCCCTGTATGCCATGGAAACTGCCTCAAGAGTTCTTGGAAGTGTGTACAATTTTCTGTCTTCTTTCCAAGCTGTAAAATTTCAGCTAATGGAAAGGGTGGGCTCAAAGAATTAAAAAATCTACAATCTCAGGGAAACTAACGAGTGTTGCGGCCTCTTCTTCCTGACAGAGGCTCCTGGAGTTTGTAACATGTCACCTGGGTGTCAAACAGCACACGTCAAAACCCCCGGGGCCCCCGCTAAACCCAGCAGGCCGGGAATAAAGTCGAGGAAGAAGGAAGGGTGGACAAGTCGGGGGGTGGGGGCGGGGCAGAGTGCAGATCAGTTGGAGCTGGCGAGGGTCAGAAGAACCGACGGGGACCAGCCAGTGCCAGGGTCTCTGCTAAGCACTTAAAAGATACAGTTTTTCCTCAACCTGTCCAAAAATGAATTAGGTCAGAAGCATCATTTTCACGTCTCCATGGTACTGAGGGTGAAGAAACTGAGGCTCAGAGACGCTGAGTAAGTCACTTAAGGTCACACAGCCAGTACATCAGTCAGGACAGTTGAGGTTCTGATGCAGTTAAAAAATAAATAAAATCAACCCTCAAATCTCAGTGTCTTAAAAAGACAAAGATCTGATTATATTCCTGTCCTGTGCTCGTCCTGGGTTGTTGGGAGCCCAGGTACCCCTCCCTGATGGATCAGCTACTCACTCCAGGCTTCTCTAGGGAAATGCGCACGTCTCAGCCAACGTGTAGGGAGAAGCATTGCCTCACGGGCCTCAGCTCTGAGCAGAGCTTATCTGACTTGCCTTGATATCAAGCCACTGAATGCACAGCAAACCTCCTCCCAAGAGTAAAACAAGATCCTTTCAGGGTGAGGACAGCTCCCCAGGGGGTAAACTTCCCATTCAGCCCGTGGATCAGTCAGGTTCAGGTTAAGCGGCTACAACAAACAGGCCCCTCTGGATGGCAGCTCACACCCGTGGAGCCCAGCTTCTCGCTCGGGAGCGGGCAGTCCAGGCGGAGGGACCCAGCTTCCTGCAGCCACTCTCCTGCTCTGTCACCTCCTGGGGATGTTCGTGCCCATGAGACAGAAGTTGAGCCCCATACCAGTGCTTAGACCAGGGCAGGGAAGAGTGGATCTGAGGGGCGTGAGGGTGTGGATCGCAACCCTACAATGCACCTCCCCCCACCAGCAAGAACAGTCAGGTGACCATCCCCAGCAGAAGGTAGTGGAGTCTGCCTTGGCAGCCATGTGTCCTCCTGAAGCTTTGGGAAGGGCTTTTAATCCTAAAAGGAAGAAAGGGAGCCCTGCGTTCTCCTGTCACCTCACCCGACCCTCTGTTGAGCCTCCTGACACTGACTTCTCATCATGTCATCCTGGGTCTCCATCCCAGGTTACTGCCTGGCGGGTCATCGCCCCCTCCTCTGTGTTACCCTCCTGCCTGGGCGGCTGTAACAGAACACCACAGACTCGGGGCTGAGACAACAGACGTTTGTTTCCCACAGCTCTGGAGGCTGAAGGTCCAAGATCAAGGCACTGGCGGGGTTAGTTCCTGGTGAGGACTCTTCCCAGCTTGCAGACGGCCACCCTCTTCCTGTGTCCTTGTGTGGAGCAGGGTCAACTCTACTCTGCTTTGTTGTAGGTATTTCTGTGGTTTAGTTGCTCAGGCATGGAACACTCTTTGCGCCCCCATGGGCTGTAGCCCACCAGGCTGCTCAGTCCATGGGATTCTCCAAGTAAGAATATAGGGGTGGGTTGCCATTCCCTTCTCCAGGGGATCTTCCCAACCCGGGGATCGGACCCGCATCTCCTACACTGGTAGGCAGATTCTTTACCATCTGAGCCAGCTGGGAAACCCTCCTCTCTGCTTATGAAGTCATTAATCCCATCATGAGGATCCCACCTTTGTGACCTCATCTAGGCTGCTCAGTCCATGGGATTCTCCAAGTAAGAATATAGGGGTGGGTTGCCATTCCCTTCTCCAGGGGATCTTCCCAACCCGGGGATCGGACCCGCATCTCCTACACTGGTAGGCAGATTCTTTACCATCTGAGCCAGCTGGGAAACCCTCCTCTCTGCTTATGAAGTCATTAATCCCATCATGAGGATCCCACCTTTGTGACCTCATCTAACCCTAGTCACTTCCCAGGGGCCCTAGCTCCCAATACCATCAGAGTGGGGTTAGGGTGGCAACACTGAATAATGGAGGAGGGGACACAGTTCATTCTATTGCAGCGAGACTTGAGCGTGTCTCCTTCTCATGACCAGTCCCACTGCCCACGGAGCTCAGCTACACCAGGACAGTACCAACGCAGGACACAACTCTATTGTTCCTTACAGATTGGTTGCTATTTACATGATTGATTACATGGGCAAGGGAGAGGAATGGAAGCCGGCCACCCTGGGGCCTGAATTCCACCCTGGATGATGAATAAGCCTCCTTTCCAGTCCAGCCCTGCAGAGCTGATGTACAGGAATGCAAATTTGTTATAAGCCAATGACCACCTCCTTGCCAGGTCCAAATATCTCCAGGGCTTCCCAGCTCCTTCCTGCAACCCACTGCCAAATTCAACACAGGCATCCACTTGGTAAACGTGCACCCAGACGTTCAAGGGTGCAAAAACAGAAAAGAGACTAAGCCTGGCCCGCTCTCACAGAGCTGCCTCCTCCAGGCAGCTGAGAACACGGGGCCAAGGAAGCCCAGGGCTGTGTGTAATGGGATTCACGGGCTCAGCTTCCGACAAGCCTTGCAAACCTATTTTGGGGGATAAATGGCTCCTCAGAAAGGTTCACCCCTCTGTGCAAATGTGATTTCACACTCCACTCAAAACGCCCCGGGAAGTTGCAACAGAAAATGGGCGCTCAGACAGGCCTCTCAATGAACAGATCCTTGTGCCAGAGTGATGGGTGGCTCGGAAAACTCACCTTGCTTGTCCTCTTTGCGGCCCAACGGCCGAGGCCTTGGTCACCTTCCTTCCTTGGCTTGTGTCACTTCAAATGCTTGCTTGCTGCTCCAGAGTCCTTTCCCATTTATCTAAACCTTTCTCTGCCTTCCCAGCCCAACTCACGTGCCACCTCCTCCTGGAAGCCCTCTGAGAACTCCCATTCAGCTCCATTTTCATCTCGGGTCAACGTCCCACGAGGTCCTCACCGTCCCATCCCAGCCAGACTGCTTAACCACAGCTCTCTGCCCCTTGAGGGGAGGCCCCCGGGCAGAGTCACTTAGCAACCGTGGAATCCACCTGAGCGAGTCAGTAGCTCCCTTACCCCAGGCGAGCCCTCAGCTTCTCTCTGTGCCTCAGTCTCCCCTCTGCTGGGAGAGCCGGTGCCTGCCCCCGCCTCCGCCTCAGCTCTTGGGGTCTGTGTGAGCTCACAGCCATGCTCGGCCGGCCACCCCTCCTGCCCTGTCCTGGGAGTCTGGGCCATGCGGGAGAACGTGGAGGAGGGGGAGGCTGGACTGCATGGGGACCGGGGCTGCGGTCCAGGTTAAGGACTTGGGACGTTATTCCAGGGGCCTGGGCAGGACTTTGGGCCAGGGAGTGACACGGTCGGAGCCACGTTGGGAAGGTGGAGGGGAAGGGCGGGTGGGGTGGGAGGGTTGTCTGTGTGGAAGACGCACAACTCTGAATGCGGAGCCCCAGGCACGTTCCCCCCAGTCCCCTGTCCCCCGCTCCCCACTGTTCCTTGTGCCGGAGCTCACTCCGCTGACACTGAGCAGACCCTCCTTGCGCCTGCTCCGGGGACAGGAGCAGAAGGCCCCGCGTTCCGAGCGCCCGGTGGGGATGCGGCTGGCTACCAGCCAGGAGGCGATGCCAGGCTCCTCGTGGGGTGTTCCTGGAAGCACACTCTGTACTGTGCCCGGCACATATAAGACAGAACCCCGACATTCACCGGGCACCCATCCAGGAACACGGGGAGTCTCTGAATCTGGGAACACCGCCGTTTCTAAGACTTGCAGCTTCAGCAAGGTCCTGGGGAGGAGACACCAGGGGACCCTGGCTGCTCAACCTGAGTGAGGCTGTGTGACCTGGGGTGAGCTGCTTAACCTCTCTGGGCTTCTTCCTTTTAGTCTCTCCTCAAATCGAACCCTGCAATGAGGACTTAAATAGGGAGTTTTTTGAGAGGTGGTCGCAGGGAGTGGGGAGGGGAGACCAGGAGGGAAAGAGCCCCACAATCATGTTGTCAGGACAGTTAGTAATGGGGGTTGTTGGAGCTTAAACTCACTGAGAAAACTCTGGGAAACAAAGGAGAACCTGCGCTTCAGATGCATCCAGGGCAGCGAGGGAGCTGAGGTATTCACACCCTGGGTTCCGTAATCCATCTCTCTGCAGGAGGGTGACTCCTCAGTTCTCCCACCTGCTTTATGGACCCCAAACCAACTCAGGACATTGACCGCACACCCTAGAGGGCAGGCGCTGGCTCCAGGGGTCAGGTCGGGGTGCAGGGAAGGGGTCAGAGTGAGGACCAAGAGTAGGGCACCCACCATGAATAAAATGGGGGTCATTCCCAAGATCAGAGTGAGGATAAGTGAGACGATGATCTGTCAAGTGTCAGCGAGATGCTTGACAAGGAAGGAAAAGTCAGCACATGTAAGCTCGTCCTCATTTTGTGAGTTTGGGGCAGGTCAGGTGGGGGATATTCCCTGAACTGGAAAGTGGAGGGAGGAGAGGGACCGGGGGTTCAATCCCCAAGGCTCTCCTTGCTGGGTCCCTGGGGGTCAGCTGTGTGTGCTCCTGATGTTCTCTTGGGGTTCTAGTAGCCCTGCCCTCCACCCCCCAGTGCTGGACTCTGTGCCATCTTGCAATTTCTGTGACAATACTTTGTAGAGTCTCCTTTCATTAAAAAGTCTCCTGGACTGTCTCCTGCGGGGCCCTGACTGACCACTGGCTCACCTGTGTCAGTGGTGACTGCCTGTCATTCTCCATGGCCACCCAGCATCCTGTCTGTGTTCAGGGCGTCTCCCTCCTTTCGTGCTAAGAAGGGAGGAGGTAGAGACCAGGAGAGAAGTACCAGTTTCAGGTAGTCAGCATCCCAGCCCACTATGGCTGGGCTGTGGGCACATGGGCTGGCCTCTACCGGCCAGACACGCCCACCCTGGACTTCAAGCTGGGAGCTTGTGGCCCCAAGAAGCAGGGGCCATGGCTGGTTCTCTTTGGAGGGGTGGCTGGGGAAGAGTGGGTACTGGGGAGCTCTGCCTGGATCCTCCTTCATTAACAACTCACCTCCCTGGGTGCTGAGAGGCTGTCCAGTGACATACTCTCTTTGGGGATAACCAGGCAGGATGCATTTGGCCCAAGGGCTTGTTCTGTCTATGCGTGGCACCCGCGTCCAGCGACCCAGGCCACAGGGGTGCGATCCCAGCCCCTCACCCCAACTTGACGCAGCTCTGAAAGTGCAGGCCAGCTCCCAGCTCTCCACGAGGATGGTGGAGTCCTTGGCTGGGACTGCCTCACAGCTCAGCATCCCCCTCCACTCATTTCTCTTTTCTTCTCCCTCTCAAGGCCACTCCCTGATGACTGGCCCTCATGCTGACCCCATCTCAGCGTCTGCTCCCCGGGTTGCCCAGCCTTGGCAGGGGGGCAGGCAGCATCTGCTGCAGCCCCCAGGATGGACAGGGCTCAGCACACAGCCGCCATGTGGGTGTCACCAGTTCTGTGCCCACAGCTTCTGGGTCTGATCCTCCAGCCCCCCTAGTTAGCAGTGATCAGCCACAGCAGGATCTTCCAATAAATTCCTCTTCTCTTTTATCAGCTGGAGATGGTTTCTGTTGCTTTCAACTCATAACTCTGACTGCCCGTTGATGCCCAACAGTTAAGTTCTCAGTTGCTAAGAGATCTGTGGTGGGACCTCACAGATGCCCATAAATGGGTTTTGGGGAAGCGGATGACTCTCCCCGGGCAGAGCCTGGATCCATGTGTGTGACGTTATGTTTATGCAAATTACGTACATCATTTCTGGAAGCGCGCGTCCAGAGCTTCTGGTCAGGTTCGCCAGGGGCTTGCTGGTTATCATCAGATGTCTGCCCCTCCCCTGGCCTAGGCGGGTGCTCTGATCCACTCGGGAGGCTGGGTCTGTGCCTTAGACTCGATGCATGGGCAGAGTCCAGCCTCTTGAGTTTCTTGCACACTTGCTGTCTCATGAGGCAGCTCCTGGGTAGTAGGATGAGAGCCCAGGCTCCTTCCGCCTTGTGGCTCTGCCCTTCCCGGGGTGCTGGAGGCCTCTGTGCCCAGCATCCAGCAAGCAAAGAGAGCAAGGCGGGACCACACATACTTCTTCATCAATGGGTCCCCCCCATCCCTTACTGCCCACCGCGTCCCACTCTCCCCCTTACTTGCCTGGTGGGCCGGGAAGCACAGGTCTGGGCTGGACAGCCGCCCCCCAGTGGCAGCTCTAACAGGGCAGGAGCTGATGGACAGTGAGCTTTGCGGGCCGCCCCCGGGGCCATGGCAACGGAGGGAAAGGGCCCTGGTTCCACACGGTCCCCTGTGTGGGGTGGCTTCAGCGTCCACTGGGGCTCAGTGCAGACCTGCTGACTGAATAGATGAAGGAGTGAAGGAAGGAATGAGAAAAGCCACCAGACTGTCAAGCCCAGGGACCATGTCCAGGCGGTTCTGGCTCCTTGGAAAGCGTTCTCAGAACGGTTCTCCGGTCGAAAAGGGAAGAAGAGTTGGCTGGACGAGGATGCCATTTTTCTCCTAGACAGTGGAAGGAAGCATTTGGACTCTTGTCCAGGATGTCCGGAGCCGGGCGGATGGATGCCTCGCCCCAGCCAGGCTCCTTCCCCCAGGCCGAGTGTTTACTCGGAAGGGGTCTGTTCCTGCCGCAGGACAGGTGTTCCGCGCGCTGACGACGGGATGTGCCTGGAGACCCAGCTCTCTTGCACTCACTCGGCTGCCTGGAAATTGATGGCCTTTCTTGTTTCTCTGGTGGGAACTGGGAGTTTCCCAGCAAAAGGTAACCCGGGCTGTGGACTATTATTTCCTGAGAAGCCCTGGATTTTCCCCCATATTAGTCATAGGAGAATGTATATTATTTTAGCTCTCGGACTCAGACTTGGGTTTTCAAGCACTGGAGGCAGGGTGGAAAATTGCCGGCGGTGCTGGTGGTGATGACTTAGGAGGGGGCAGCTCTCCTTTGCTCTTCTGGAGGTGACGTGAGGCTCCCCAAGGGCGTGGACAAGCCTTCTTCAGGCCTGGGACTGGGTGAACTTTCGGAGGTGATGTCCACCTACTGGGTCTCCCGGGGGCAGATGAGGGTGGGGTAGAGGGAGGTGGTGCCCAGAAGGGGAGCGGGCTTAGGTAACGATCACCTACACCATGCCAGGCACCCTGGGGTGGGGGCAGGTAGGCCACTTGGCTGCAGATGGCAGAGGACTCAGAAATGTCCATGCTCAGAGGCACTGTCAACACACTCCTTGTTGAGGGGGGGGGTCCTCCAGGAAGTGGGAGCTCTCCAGATAAGAACAAGGCCCCGGGATCAGTAAAAGCAAGGCCCCAGTGGACAGGAAGGACAAGTGTCCTCATGGAGCTGAAACCACCTCCCCTTGTCCCCCGCCTCCGGCCACAGCCCTCTGAGTCTGGCGGAGATGCTGGCTGCCTCGGTGGGAGGCCCCGGGCAGCCTCTCCGCAGCACTGCTGCAGGCTGGGAAAGGCAGTGAACTTGAGGGTCCCCCCTTATCTACAGGGGAACACCAGGAAGAATCGAGGGAAGGCAGAAAGCAGCAGAAGGGGCCTGGGGCTGTCAGAGGTGACCACACTGCCTCTGGATGGTGACCAGCTGTGGGGACTGGACAAGTGCAGCTCTGCCGGGACTCTCACGCAAGCTGGGCCCCCCTATTCTACCCAGCCCGCAGCCCACTGGTGGGGCCCTGATGAGGCTCTGAGCTCCTGCCCCGTGGTGCCAGGAAAGATCCTGTGGGTAGTTGGCAGGTGAAGCTGACCAGGCATTTGAGTGAGGGGGTTGCAGCCAGAGCACCTGGGTTCATGTCCCAAGCTGTCCGTTCCTAGCTGTGTGGCCTTAAGCCAGTCCCTATGAGCCTCAATGTCCCCATGTATAGCACAGGGAAGAAGCAGTGTCTCCTTGACAGGGTTTTGAGGGTTGCACAGGAGAGGTGTAAATGCCAAGCACCTCTGAGCAATGGTTTTAAGCTTTGATGAACTGATATTTTGGGGTCCCTCTTCTGTGTGAAATGCCTCTCCTCTTTTTCTCTTCATGGCCCTTCTTCTCTTCTTGCTTCTCCTTCCCTCTTTCTTCTCCATTTCTGTCCCCTCTTCCTGAACTCAGGGGCCTGCTCCATTTAAGCTTCCTCTCTCGCAGAAGTTAGGGACAGCATAAGTGTTCCTACCATCTGCTCAGAGCAGGGGAAGAGCCGGGAGGAGGGGCTCTGCTGACCTCCAGGGCCAGGGATGCCCTTCATGTTTGTTTCCTGAACTGCTACTCAATTCTGAAGGCCCAGATCAAAGTCCCCTCCTCCAGGAAGTCCTCCCTAACTTCCTCGAGCAGCCAGTGGCTGCCTCTCCTGCTCCCCTACCACCCTGGACATCGGTGTGAAATGCTGACCCACTTAGGCTCCAGTCTTCTCTTCCCATGTCTGAGTCGGGGCGGGGGGCGATTCTCAGGCTGCTACCTGGTTAAAACCTGGCTGGAGGTGGGGTCACAAACTCCAGCTGTCTGCAGTCTGGGTGCACAGAACAGCGGAGTCTAGATTAAAATAGCTGCTTAAATATTGAGGGGGACCAAAGATGAATGAACCATGGAAACAGCCTGCATGAGGGCTTGGGTCTCTTGTCCCAGCCCAGGGCCAGACCATACCTTCCCTGAGAGCAGCCGCTTCCAGTGCCAGCATCTTCCTCACCCCTTGTCTCCCCTGCCTTATTTCCTTTGTCACTCTGCTCCTTTTTAACCCCGGGAAAGTTCTTCAGATACAATTTGTTATTGGTTGAGTACATGTGATCTGCAGGCTATGCGGTATACAGCTTGCAACCCAGCTCCACCCCAGGATTGCCTGTGCCCCCCG